AAGCGACAAGAAAGGTCGAGTGACCGAACAGAGAACGGCAAATGTACAAATGTCACGAACCGTAGAAGTCGTGTAGGCTAGTCAACCCCATTTTACAAAGTCAAACAGGACGTATAGGTCTTGTGTCTATGCCAACAGGCTCGGGAAAGAGTGGAATCATCAGTTGCCTTCCGTACTTTCTAGGAAAACTAGGACTGAATCCACCACCCACACCAGATGACGACCCAGAAGGCGAACCACTTCACAGGTTTAACAAGCCTGTATTAGTTATAGCTCCAGATCTCGCCATCGCAAGCCAACTTGATGGGAAATTGACCATTTCGGCAGATGCAGCAGATGATGAGAACTTTCTGTTAGCCAGAAAGATTGTTACCGAAGAAGATGACGATGATCAAGAGGTCCTTCCACAAGGTGTGAAGATTCAAGAAACAGCACATCTCGGTAATCCCAAATTTCTTAGGAACAAAGATCTCGTCATCGCAAACGCCCAGAAATTTCTTCAAGGAAACTGGGAAGAAGTACTCCCTGATGACATTTTCAAACTTGTGATTGTGGACGAAGCCCATCACCATCCAGCTAAAACATGGCGGCGAATCATTCGAAAATTCAAACATCATGCGATGGTTGTATTCTTAACCGCTACTCCGTTTAGAGCTGATGGAAGGCGCGTGGTAGAAGACGAAGAAGGTGATATGGTTTATCGATTGTCCCTCGAAGATGCCAGAACAAATCGAATAATTCGGCGGATAAACTGGCTTCAACTTGTCAGTGGTGACACAAATCTCCACAATATTTTTTCTATCATCCTCGAGCGAGTCAAGTCCATTCAACAGTCCAAGGATAGGGAAACTCCCCTTCCTGACAACATTCCTCACATGGCTATTGCAATAACAAAGAATATCGCCTATGCAGAGGACGTGAGACAGATGTGGGACGATCACTGGGGGAACCACGGTATGGCAATTGCTTATCACTCAGATTTACCCAAGAAAACGAAGCTGGCGATGATGGAAGCGATACAAAGCAACCAGATAAAGCTAGTGGTGGTTGTAGATATGTTGCGTGAAGGTTTCGACTATCCACCCATCAGTATTGCAGCTATTATGACCAAAATTGTCTCCCCGGTCAAGTTTGCACAGTTTATTGGAAGGGCACAGAGAATCGTACGTGGACATCAAGGTCTTGAGTCACAAGAAATATTTTCAGATGTTGTGACCCACAGCTACTTCCAACAAGAGGAAAACTACCAAACATATGAACGTGAGGGATTAATTCCTGATGACTGACAATAACAACATAATGTAATAATTTTAATGAGCCATTTTGATAGCTCTGCACTGGCATAGAAAAACAGATTCTTGTTGCTATTTTAGAATTACATGTAGTGTTTTATAACTTGTAAACCAAGTACACGACGTTATCTTACAGATTGTTTGGCTTCTTGATTTACCTGGAGCTAGGCAGGTGGGGGGGGGGGGGGGGGTGGTACTCCCGTATAAGGGCTTTGTTAGTATGTGTGGCTCCTAAGGGTAACATTTTAGCCATTTAAGTCAGAAATAAAACCCCAATTTTTTCATTGCGATAAGTCACGAAAATTAAATTTAATGCATACCACAGGTTGCTGGTCTCTGTTTTTGTCTTATTGAATATACTTGTATTTTGATTGTGTTCTGTATTTAAATGCTACAATAAGTATTGAAAAACTGAGCTAGCTGCCACCTTAAAGAGCATAATAAAAAGAGACTAAGTTTCCCAAATTTCAGTGTTTTTGGTTCAAACACAAAGATGTAATACACTTAAGCTTTTGAAAAGCTGTGATTAAGAGAGCTTTGTATGGTGTTTAAAATTTTCAAACTATCAAATTGTCCTATTCCCAGCTAGCAGAGGCTCTTTCCCTGGTGTTCGCTGACAGGAGAAAAGAGACCTCTGCCATGGGTCAAAAATGGCTATATTGAGCATGCTCCGCAGCTTAGCGACCGAGCCATCATGTACTGTTTGTAGCACATGACGAAATGAGAGCGGAATTAATGTAAAGAATGCGCGAGACACAACAGGCTCAAGTTGCGGTCAACAAACAACGCAAGAGCATGCGTTTTAAATAGAGCCGTCCAAGACTGAGGACACCGATTAATTAAATCAAAACCATTTTCAACCCATGGTAGGGGTCTCTTTTCTCCTGTCAGCAAACACCAGGAAAAGAGCCTCTGCTAGCAGGGAAACTGCCCTAGAATCTTGTGCTAAAAGATAGACTTAGTTTGAAGAACTATCATTGACCAAACACTTTTAAGTTTAGTTTCCTTAATCGTATTGTAGAATTCGCTTCCATTTGTAGTTAGATCATAACCTAGTATTTCAAGTTTTAGGCGTGGTGTAAGGAGCGTCTTAATGAATACCAACTGAACTGGTTGGCTTATAGAATATATTTGTTTTAATATTTTTTCATATAATCATAATGTAGGTGATCTCAGACCATCCTTATGGCATTTCTGTGTTCATTAATTTGTTGTCATTAATTGTAACAAATAAATAAGTAAATAAATAAAACATCATTGGCCTCAAAATCTTAGCAATTTCATCACCCTCTTTCCATTTCTGGAATCTGTTTCATACCACAACCACTTTTTATGATTGACAAGGTCGCGTGACATGGTCATGTAAAGGACCTATTGTACAGTCTTTATACCACTTGGACGTTTATATAAACCATTGATTAAGCTTACTGTCAACAAAATAGGGTGCCTTCCAGAAAAATCTTCCTACGTGTGCTACTTAAAAGAAACCACAAAAACCTATGAACCACTGTAAAGCCAACAAAAAATATAGATTCCAAAAAAAAAAAAAAGTATACTTTTAACCATTTTTGTTTTGGTAGACACACACAAGCCTCCAAACACAAACCTGACAGTGTTGTGCTTAACTTAAATTACCGGCCTTTGTGTTTAGGGTACATGTATCTGTGATGTGATCAAAATTATTATTAATAATAAAGTGTAGATGCAAGACAACTCATTAACCTAAAATTCATGGCTGTAAATTAATGAAAAAGGAATAAAGTTTGTTGTTTTTGGTGGTGGTGGTGGTGGTGCTACAACCATTGGACAGTAACCTTGAGTAGACTCCTCACCAAGTAAACACCCTGTGTTGACATCACAAGTCCCAAACTTTTCTTCCAAATATTAATTTACCATAAAACATTACCTCTTTTTGGTTGATGTGGACTTAACAAATCACATGTGGTTTAGCGTTGTCTGGACTCTTATCGACGACATGTGTCATCGCAGTGGTCAAAATGCTGTGGACCGATGAGGCGCAGCTGAGTGAGTCCACAACAAATTTTGACGACTGCGATGATGCGTATCGTCGATAATAGTACAGACCATGCTAAACCATATTTCGATTTGCTTTTTACCACAATATCAACGTCAAAGGAAATGTTTTGTTCAGAGCGAGAGCTGAAAAAGGCATTGTGACACATTGACATGAGCAGTGATGTCTGGACTCTTATTGAAAATGGCAAATTAGACAATCAGATTGCGAGATGAGTAGCAATTGTGGTAAATAATGAATTTGAACCCCTTTGCCACATTGACAAAAATTGCCCACTTTTGAAGCATATTTTCTGCTAATTTCAATCAACAAAACAGTAGTCCATATTGTAAAATTCAGACTTCTCGGGGAACCAATCAGAGTTCTTATCATTACGAACCAGTTTGCCACATAAATCCAAAACGGATTTTGTACCAGTGTTTCTTTACTACACAGATAACCAAGATCACTCAGATCATGGTGCATCAAAGAAACTAACAAGTCCACTCTGGGATTCTTCAGTTTCTTTGATTCACCTTGATCCAAGTGATCTTGGATTAATCTGTTTCATAAATATACGTCTAGTAATGGTCATCAAATCCCTGGTTTCTACACTTTGATATCCACACTATCGTGCTCTACACATGGATTCCGAAGTGTAGAATACCGTGACAAACTACCACTGCTGTAATTCTTTATTTACTTCTGCACTTCTCTCTGTGTGGATGATGGTAGAATACCATGACAAACCCTAGTTTGTCACAGTATTCTACACTTCCTTACTAAGATTTGTTTAGTAAAGAAACACAAAATCCGTTTTTAGATCTAAGAATTCAATATTGGATTTTCCCAAAGAAACATACCCTGACCAATAATGATATTAATGTGAGAGACAAAAGAACAGTACAATTGCTACAATTTTTTTTTCTGTTACAAAATGTTATTTATTAAACAGACATCTTACTTATGTACAAGTTTCATTGTGTTTTCAAAAATTAATGTGAAGACAAACTATTAGCAAATGTTCCATTTTCAAACTGACTTGGAGAGGCATTATGAGAAGATGGAGAAAATAGTAGTGGAATGAAGGAGACACAACCATCTGACCAACACTGAAAACAAAGGTGGTTTCAATACATATGTAAATAAAAGCAATGGATGAGAAGTTCTTCACGTTTACAATGGCATTTGTTACCACTGCTCTCATGACAAGGGGTTTAGAATTTTGTATAATCTTTAAATATTATTTTATGTGTGTATATTTCCATTCAATTAAAAAACTATTGACTGCTATTTCATGTGATCAGTGTTTATTATGCTGCATGCAGGGTGATTCTCGCTTTAACGCCTGTGGATACAACTTAATATTAAGTGTGTGGTCATTCATATAAAATCTAATATTTTTTTAGTATTTAGTAGCACATAGGTACTCTTTGTTTTTCAATAGAGCAATCAATGTTCAGTTGAGTGTTGTAAAATCAAAACAAATGCACATTTTACTTGAAAGACTTAAGTGAAAACCACTATCATCCAGTGATGTATTTCTGCCAATCAGTCCAGAACTTTGCCACCAACATTTAGAAAGGGAAAGTCTATGTCATGCCAGTCTCCCTTGCTACTGGGTTTCTAGTTCATGTAGCATTTTAAAAGTGACTTGGAGTACCTCAATCTACTTGACCCGTGGATGAGATGTCAGTCCACTGCAGGGTCACTTGCTTTGGAGTAAAAGAATTGAACAAAACTTACAACAGTGAGAAGGGCTCCTTTCTTGAAGTCTTGCTGGAAGGTGACAAGTTCTGGGACTGTATTAGGAGGGCCTCGTACAAAGCCACTGCATATTACAGAATAATAAGAATTAATTACTCTTACTACTGATTACACAGTCGCATGCTTGTGTGCATACTATCCGTATTACTGGTACTGGAACTTGACCTACACTGTACATGGACATGTAACAACATTCTGCATTCAGTGGAATCCCACAAACCTGGGTCAGCTCCAATAGTCAGAATTTCAATTAGAATTAATTTCATCATTTTTACTCCTGCCAGTCACTTACTTATTCATTAGCAGAACTTTTAACAAGTTTAAAGTATTACTCTGCAATTATAAAAGAATCCAAACTTTCAAATCTGTGGTAAATAATGAGAGGATTTTTATATAATCAGTGATCTAGACTTTTGTTATTCCCAGAAAGCCTAAATAATCAAGACAGGATAAATATCACTATAATTATAATTTGATATCAGTATAAGCTAATGTACTAGTCAAGAATACAGTCAAGTAGTCGGTTTTCATTACTGAAATCCTCTGCGTGCAGAACTTACTAGATAAGTTAATTTTATGCAAATTAGGGAAAGAAATGAGGAGGGAATGGGGAGAAGCTTTTTCCTCTTTCTCTGCACATGTGCTTTTTGCAGCTCATGACTTCACGGCTCAACTGCTCAACCACTAAAAACTTGTTGTGGGGGCATGATAAGAAAAGAAAGAGACTGCTTGCAGTCTAAAAAAGTACCGGGCAATTATAAAAATAACTTTCCTCCATTCAGTCTCACCTTGGCATGATTTCAAATGTTGGTTTCAATCTTGTTTTAAATACAGCAACTAGTTCTTGAGCATGTTTGCCTTCATCTATGTTGAAAGTGACAACGAGATTTCATTGGAATTTATAGTGAAAATTCTATCTAATACGTCCCTGGCAAACCTCTGAAAAGGGGACGGATTTGGCCATGCAGCATTGTTGTATTGTAGCAGTAGCAATTGTTGCATGTGTCCTGTCATTTTTTCTGTTGTAATAAATGAATTGCATTTCAAAAATAAAGCAGCTACAGTATGCTCCAAAGAAGAACCCATAATAAAGTAAGAGGAAGCTTATAAAATTTGTGCTTGGAGCCAACTGGGCCTCGCAGCTTGAACTTCTAGCCCAGATTCCAGTAGTATAAAAGCACAAGGAGCATATTGCTTCTTCCCCTGAGTTGGATACTTGTCCAATGATAGTTAACCCCCCCGATTACACCCCCCAGCAATGGAGGAAGCAATCACTCAGATTCTTGAATTTTGTAATAGAACACACTGACTTTGTACTAGTCAAAGTTAGAAAACACTGAATCATTTGTTAATTTGCACTGTACTTTTAAACAAATTAAAACCATTTTGCGGCTTCAAAGGTTTATTGAGCAATCTTACTCAATTAGCAATTAGCAATTAGTAAATCAGTATGATGTTTTGATTATCACATTTTTGAATTAAATGTTGTTGTTGTTGTTGTTATGACGTGCATGGACTCCTGAATCAAAGTCAAACAGGAATTCAAAACTTCATGACCTTTGTGATACCAGTCTGAAGGCCTCCCTAAGCAAGCTCGGCATCAGTACTGGGAGGCCAGTAGTCTTTTTCCTGTCCCATAATGATACACATACCTTTAAATATAACTGCTAGTCTTTCACCGAGTGGATCCCAAGCCATGGAACGAACACAGCCCCCTACAGTCACTAACTCCTCATCCAGCTCCCAGCTGTATGATGTCAAATCAGCACATCTTACAGCCAGCCGTGCACCTTTTGCCACAGATGTTTTGTTGTCCCCATTACCTTAATATAAATATATTAAAACAAACTTCTTAAACAGCAATTATTCATAATAAAAATATTCTCCACATAACTGACAGTTTTTTTTGTTTTGTGTTAAATGGCATAAGTGCACATTATGGTACCCCTTGGTACCCTGGGTACCAGAGGTTTCTCGTGTGGTTTCTGGTGTTAGTCATGTCTATATTGGGACCTGCATGAAAAACCTCTGGAGCAGAGCGCGATTTCTTTGACAGTGCCATGCCAATGACAGGCCAGTTTTAATCTCTCTAGTCCAAAATCTGGACTGGAAAGCTGATTGGCTCCTAATGACCTCCCAAGGGTTTTCTGATCTAACAGACATGGTGATTGGTTTCTAAGAATAGAGAACGTGAGCCAGTGAAATGTCGTTGGGTGACGTGATGATCATGGCTGGCGGATTTTGAGATTGATGTTTGTTCGCGCACTGTAAGGTTTGTGAAAGATCAAGATCTGGTCAAAGCCATAACAAAAATTCCTCAAAACTATCAACGGTGTTGACAACTTTTAAATTAAACGCCAAGCAAAGGGATGGAATTTTCTTCACAGCAAGGATGTTTTGGCGGTTTTGGCAACAGGATTTGGGAAATCGTTCAGTCAATCAATCAATCAATCAAACTTTATTAGGAGGGTGACACTTAACAGTTAAAAAACTAATGAACTTGTGGCCCTCTATAAACATTACTACAATTGTTATTTCAATTAATTTCTGGACTCTGTGTTGAACTACACAATGCTCCCAACGCCGGTGTACCAGAAGAGCTGGAACAGCATTTTGAATGTGTACTTTCACCATTTGTAGCTTCTCCTTTCTAACAGACAAGATTCTATTTGTAATATTCTCAGTTTAAATTTGTGACTTCTTTGACAGTCGCTTCAAGTTTTTCGATTCGTCGATAACATGTCTTACAAAGAATATGCAGCCCGACAGACAGATTCTTGTCCTTGGCAGTGAAAAGTGTCGAGATTCTTTCGAAGATTTTCAGTTGTTGAGCATTTTCAGGTACAAGGCTGTAATATCCACCATTACACATAACGTTAGCGTCAAGTAAACAGCAAGACAGCGACGAATTCGAATTAGGAACCTTTTTAACGGGAGTATTAAGTAAACATAGTTTTTAGTCCCGTAGAAGCCATAATTCAAACCAGAGCAGATTTGTCATGTCACGCGAATGTGTCATGTCTTCACATGCCAGTCCATGTGATCACAGTGGGAGATGCTTGCTGTGATTAGTTTAAAAGTAATCCAATAAAATTAATCAAAGTTCAATGAGAACGGTGAATGAAACCGTTCCGTACCAGGGGTTTTTCTTGCCGCTCGTGCCAGCAGCCGCCGAAGCCAAGCAAAGTATTTCCGTCCACCACGAGGGAGAAAAAACCTCTGGTACCCAGGGTAACCCCTTGGCAGATGCTTTTAAACTAAGTAGGTGCAACCCCATTAGTTTTAAATAACAGTCTCCGTACCCAAACTAGAATTCATAGATGAACTAATGCATTAATAACAATATGGTTGGTTCTATTTCTTACCAGTTTGTGATTCAGTTAACATGCTATTCATGCAGACTTATTCAGTTGATGTTGTTGTTGTTGTTGTCAGTATCTATTTTTTGTTTCAAGTACTTACCAACATCCTGAAATTGTAGTGAATATAGTGCAGGCTCATTTGCCACAGCAAATACTAGAACTCTCCCATCATGACTCCAGCATGCTGCCTGGTGAATACGCAATGTATATAGGGAATACAAACTCATTCAGAAGCACAGTGGAACCTCGCCTTGCAACACCCAGTTAATGGGCATCTTTTGGAGAAAGGGAAANGTCCAAGACTGAGGACACCGATTAATTAAATCAAAACCATTTTCAACCCATGGTAGGGGTCTCTTTTCTCCTGTCAGCAAACACCAGGAAAAGAGCCTCTGCTAGCAGGGAAACTGCCCTAGAATCTTGTGCTAAAAGATAGACTTAGTTTGAAGAACTATCATTGACCAAACACTTTTAAGTTTAGTTTCCTTAATCGTATTGTAGAATTCGCTTCCATTTGTAGTTAGATCATAACCTAGTATTTCAAGTTTTAGGCGTGGTGTAAGGAGCGTCTTAATGAATACCAACTGAACTGGTTGGCTTATAGAATATATTTGTTTTAATATTTTTTCATATAATCATAATGTAGGTGATCTCAGACCATCCTTATGGCATTTCTGTGTTCATTAATTTGTTGTCATTAATTGTAACAAATAAATAAGTAAATAAATAAAACATCATTGGCCTCAAAATCTTAGCAATTTCATCACCCTCTTTCCATTTCTGGAATCTGTTTCATACCACAACCACTTTTTATGATTGACAAGGTCGCGTGACATGGTCATGTAAAGGACCTATTGTACAGTCTTTATACCACTTGGACGTTTATATAAACCATTGATTAAGCTTACTGTCAACAAAATAGGGTGCCTTCCAGAAAAATCTTCCTACGTGTGCTACTTAAAAGAAACCACAAAAACCTATGAACCACTGTAAAGCCAACAAAAAATATAGATTCCAAAAAAAAAAAAAAGTATACTTTTAACCATTTTTGTTTTGGTAGACACACACAAGCCTCCAAACACAAACCTGACAGTGTTGTGCTTAACTTAAATTACCGGCCTTTGTGTTTAGGGTACATGTATCTGTGATGTGATCAAAATTATTATTAATAATAAAGTGTAGATGCAAGACAACTCATTAACCTAAAATTCATGGCTGTAAATTAATGAAAAAGGAATAAAGTTTGTTGTTTTTGGTGGTGGTGGTGGTGGTGCTACAACCATTGGACAGTAACCTTGAGTAGACTCCTCACCAAGTAAACACCCTGTGTTGACATCACAAGTCCCAAACTTTTCTTCCCAATATTAATTTACCGTAAAACATTACCTCTTTTTGGTTGATGTGGACTTAACAAATCGCATGTGGTTTAGCGTTGTCTGGACTCTTATCGACGATATGTGTCATCGCAGTGGTCAAAATGCTATGGACCAATGAGGCGCAGCTGAGTGAGTCCACAACAAATTTTGACGACTGCGATGATGCGTATCATCGATAAGACTACAGACCACGCTAAACCATATTTCGATTTGCTTTTTACCACAATATCAACGTCAAAGAAAATGTTTTGTTCAGAGCGAGAGCTGAAAAAGGCATTGTGTGACACATTGACGTGAGCAGTGATGTCTGGACTCTTATTGACAATGGCAAATTAGACAATCAGATTGCGAGATGAGTAGCAATTGTGGTAAATAATGAATTTGAACCCCTTTGCCACATTGACAAAAATTGTCCACTTTTGAAGCATATTTTCTGCTAATTTCAATCAACAAAACAGTGGTCCATATTGTAAAATTCAGACTTCTCGGGGAACCAATCAGAGTTCTCCTTATCATTACGAACCAGTTTGCCACATAAATCCAAAACGGATTTTGTACCAGTGTTTCTTTACTACACAGATAACCAAGATCACTCAGATCATGGTGCATCAAAGAAACTAACAAGTCCACTCTGGGATTCTTCAGTTTCTTTGATTCACCTTGATCCAAGTGATCTTGGATTAATCTGTTTCATAAATATACGTCTAGTAATGGTCATCAAATCCCTGGTTTCTACACTTTGATATCCACACTATCGTGCTCTACACATGGATTCCGAAGTGTAGAATACCGTGACAAACTACCACTGCTGTAATTCTTTATTTACTTCTGCACTTCTCTCTGTGTGGATGATGGTAGAATACCATGACAAACCCTAGTTTGTCACAGTATTCTACACTTCCTTACTAAGATTTGTTTAGTAAAGAAACACAAAATCCGTTTTTAGATCTAAGAATTCAATATTGGATTTTCCCAAAGAAACATACCCTGACCAATAATGATATTAATGTGAGAGACAAAAGAACAGTACAATTGCTACAATTTTTTTTTCTGTTACAAAATGTTATTTATTAAACAGACATCTTACTTATGTACAAGTTTCATTGTGTTTTCAAAAATTAATGTGAAGACAAACTATTAGCAAATGTTCCATTTTCAAACTGACTTGGAGAGGCATTATGAGAAGATGGAGAAAATAGTAGTGGAATGAAGGAGACACAACCATCTGACCAACACTGAAAACAAAGGTGGTTTCAATACATATGTAAATAAAAGCAATGGATGAGAAGTTCTTCACGTTTACAATGGCATTTGTTACCACTGCTCTCATGACAAGGGGTTTAGAATTTTGTATAATCTTTAAATATTATTTTATGTGTGTATATTTCCATTCAATTAAAAAACTATTGACTGCTATTTCATGTGATCAGTGTTTATTATGCTGCATGCAGGGTGATTCTCGCTTTAACGCCTGTGGATACAACTTAATATTAAGTGTGTGGTCATTCATATAAAATCTAATATTTTTTTAGTATTTAGTAGCACATAGGTACTCTTTGTTTTTCAATAGAGCAATCAATGTTCAGTTGAGTGTTGTAAAATCAAAACAAATGCACATTTTACTTGAAAGACTTAAGTGAAAACCACTATCATCCAGTGATGTATTTCTGCCAATCAGTCCAGAACTTTGCCACCAACATTTAGAAAGGGAAAGTCTATGTCATGCCAGTCTCCCTTGCTACTGGGTTTCTAGTTCATGTAGCATTTTAAAAGTGACTTGGAGTACCTCAATCTACTCGACCCGTGGATGAGATGTCAGTCCACTGCAGGGTCACTTGCTTTGGAGTAAAAGAATTGAACAAAACTTACAACAGTGAGAAGGGCTCCTTTCTTGAAGTCTTGCTGGAAGGTGACAAGTTCTGGGACTGTATTAGGAGGGCCTCGTACAAAGCCACTGCATATTACAGAATAATAAGAATTAATTACTCTTACTACTGATTACACAGTCGCATGCTTGTGTGCATACTATCCGTATTACTGGTACTGGAACTTGACCTACACTGTACATGGACATGTAACAACATTCTGCATTCAGTGGAATCCCACAAACCTGGGTCAGCTCCAATAGTCAGAATTTCAATTAGAATTAATTTCATCATTTTTACTCCTGCCAGTCACTTACTTATTCATTAGCAGAACTTTTAACAAGTTTAAAGTATTACTCTGCAATTATAAAAGAATCCAAACTTTCAAATCTGTGGTAAATAATGAGAGGATTTTTATATAATCAGTGATCTAGACTTTTGTTATTCCCAGAAAGCCTAAATAATCAAGACAGGATAAATATCACTATAATTATAATTTGATATCAGTATAAGCTAATGTACTAGTCAAGAATACAGTCAAGTAGTCGGTTTTCATTACTGAAATCCTCTGCGTGCAGAACTTACTAGATAAGTTAATTTTATGCAAATTAGGGAAAGAAATGAGGAGGGAATGGGGAGAAGCTTTTTCCTCTTTCTCTGCACATGTGCTTTTTGCAGCTCATGACTTCACGGCTCAACTGCTCAACCACTAAAAACTTGTTGTGGGGGCATGATAAGAAAAGAAAGAGACTGCTTGCAGTCTAAAAAAGTACCGGGCAATTATAAAAATAACTTTCCTCCATTCAGTCTCACCTTGGCATGATTTCAAATGTTGGTTTCAATCTTGTTTTAAATACAGCAACTAGTTCTTGAGCATGTTTGCCTTCATCTATGTTGAAAGTGACAACGAGATTTCATTGGAATTTATAGTGAAAATTCTATCTAATACGTCCCTGGCAAACCTCTGAAAAGGGGACGGATTTGGCCATGCAGCATTGTTGTATTGTAGCAGTAGCAATTGTTGCATGTGTCCTGTCATTTTTTCTGTTGTAATAAATGAATTGCATTTCAAAAATAAAGCAGCTACAGTATGCTCCAAAGAAGAACCCATAATAAAGTAAGAGGAAGCTTATAAAATTTGTGCTTGGAGCCAACTGGGCCTCGCAGCTTGAACTTCTAGCCCAGATTCCAGTAGTATAAAAGCACAAGGAGCATATTGCTTCTTCCCCTGAGTTGGATACTTGTCCAATGATAGTTAACCCCCCCGATTACACCCCCCAGCAATGGAGGAAGCAATCACTCAGATTCTTGAATTTTGTAATAGAACACACTGACTTTGTACTAGTCAAAGTTAGAAAACACTGAATCATTTGTTAATTTGCACTGTACTTTTAAACAAATTAAAACCATTTTGCGGCTTCAAAGGTTTATTGAGCAATCTTACTCAATTAGCAATTAGCAATTAGTAAATCAGTATGATGTTTTGATTATCACATTTTTGAATTAAATGTTGTTGTTGTTGTTGTTATGACGTGCATGGATTCCTGAATCAAAGTCAAACAGGAATTCAAAACTTCATGACCTTTGTGATACCAGTCTGAAGGCCTCCCTAAGCAAGCTCGGCATCAGTACTGGGAGGCCAGTAGTCTTTTTCCTGTCCCATAATGATACACATACCTTTAAATATAACTGCTAGTCTTTCACCGAGTGGATCCCAAGCCATGGAACGAACACAGCCCCCTACAGTCACTAACTCCTCATCCAGCTCCCAGCTGTATGATGTCAAATCAGCACATCTTACAGCCAGCCGTGCACCTTTTGCCACAGATGTTTTGTTGTCCCCATTACCTTAATATAAATATATTAAAACAAACTTCTTAAACAGCAATTATTCATAATAAAAATATTCTCCACATAACTGACAGTTTTTTTTGTTTTGTGTTAAATGGCATAAGTGCACATTATGGTACCCCTTGGTACCCTGGGTACCAGAGGTTTCTCGTGTGGTTTCTGGTGTTAGTCATGTCTATATTGGGACCTGCATGAAAAACCTCTGGAGCAGAGCGCGATTTCTTTGACAGTGCCATGCCAATGACAGGCCAGTTTTAATCTCTCTAGTCCAAAATCTGGACTGGAAAGCTGATTGGCTCCTAATGACCTCCCAAGGGTTTTCTGATCTAACAGACATGGTGATTGGTTTCTAAGAATAGAGAACGTGAGCCAGTGAAATGTCGTTGGGTGACGTGATGATCATGGCTGGCGGATTTTGAGATTGATGTTTGTTCGCGCACTGTAAGGTTTGTGAAAGATCAAGATCTGGTCAAAGCCATAACAAAAATTCCTCAAAACTATCAACGGTGTTGACAACTTTTAAATTAAACGCCAAGCAAAGGGATGGAATTTTCTTCACAGCAAGGATGTTTTGACGGTTTTGGCAACAGGATTTGGGAAATCGTTCAGTCAATCAATCAATCAATCAAACTTTATTAGGAGGGTGACACTTAGCAGTTAAAAAACTAATGAACTTGTGGCCCTCTATAAACATTACTACAATTGTTATTTCAATTAATTTCTGGACTCTGTGTTGAACTACACAATGCTCCCAACGCTGGTGTACCAGAAGAGCTGGAACAGCATTTTGAATGTGTACTTTCACCATTTGTAGCTTCTCCTTTCTAACAGACAAGATTCTATTTGTAATATTCTCAGTTTAAATTTGTGACTTCTTTGACAGTCGCTTCGAGTTTTTCGATTCGTCGATAACATGTCTTACAAAGAATATGCAGCCCGACAGACAGATTCTTGTCCTTGGCAGTGAAAAGTGTCGAGATTCTTTCGAAGATTTTCAGTTGTTGAGCATTTTCAGGTACAAGGCTGTAATATCCACCATTACACATAACGTTAGCGTCAAGTAAACAGCAAGACAGCGACGAATTCGAATTAGGAACCTTTTTAACGGGAGTATTAAGTAAACATAGTTTTTAGTCCCGTAGAAGCCATAATTCAAACCAGAGCAGATTTGTCATGTCACGCGAATGTGTCATGTCTTCACATGCCAGTCCATGTGATCACAGTGGGAGATGCTTGCTGTGATTAGTTTAAAAGTAATCCAATAAAATTAATCAAAGTTCAATGAGAACGGTGAATGAAACCGTTCCGTACCAGGGGTTTTTCTTGCCGCTCGTGCCAGCAGCCGCCGAAGCCAAGCAAAGTATTTCCGTCCACCACGAGGGAGAAAAAACCTCTGGTACCCAGGGTAACCCCTTGGCAGATGCTTTTAAACTAAGTAGGTGCAACCCCATTAGTTTTAAATAACAGTCTCCGTACCCAAACTAGAATTCATAGATGAACTAATGCATTAATAACAATATGGTTGGTTCTATTTCTTACCAGTTTGTGATTCAGTTAACATGCTATTCATGCAGACTTATTCAGTTGATGTTGTTGTTGTTGTTGTCAGTATCTATTTTTTGTTTCAAGTACTTACCAACATCCTGAAATTGTAGTGAATATAGTGCAGGCTCATTTGCCACAGCAAATACTAGAACTCTCCCATCATGACTCCAGCATGCTGCCTGGTGAATACGCAATGTATATAGGGAATACAAACTCATTCAGAAGCACAGTGGAACCTCGCCTTGCAACACCCAGTTAATGGGCATCTTTTGGAGAAAGGGAAAGAAGTGGATAACACATTTCCCTTTCCCCACCTTAAATTTGAACTTCACTTACAGTGAACTCACAACAACATGAGGGAATGTGAGTGGGCCAGCAAAAGAAAGTGGGAGTGGTCACTGTACAAACATTTGAGCCCATTTCACGGTTTGGTGATTTTGTAGTAAATCAAAATTCAACAAACATGGCCCAAATTGCCATTAATATAAAGGCAGAGGCTGATTAAAACACTATATACCTCTCAAATAATTTCTCACTATACATCTATTCCAAGTGCATTGTTTAAATCCCTGACAAAAATTTGCTTTTTGCTCATGCAGCATTTAGAGTTGCCCTCATCACCTTCAGGGCTGTAGCCAGACTTCAGAACAACATGAGGCGCGAGCCGCTAGGGGGGTCTGGGGGCATGTTCCCCCAGAAAATTTTGAAATCTACAAGCTCAGAAATGCTCTTTTAAACATTTTCCGAGGCATTTTTCTTCAGAAAAGTCAATCTTGGGCAAGTGTAGAAGTTCACTTGTTTATTGCTGAGTGATACTTGCACCAAGTTAATGACCATCTGCATTTTAAAGCATTCAAATGTTGTAACACATATTATAACAATAAGATGAATCCACAAAAGTAGCCAATGTTTATGGATTTTATACTGTAGATAATTAGGAGAAGTCTTCAGTAACACTTTTTTGAAGTTAGTTCTTAGATGATATACAGAATCATGCTCACTTATCAGTTATCTGTTTTGATACACTCTTGCTTATGTTCTTCAAAAAAGGGCCAAAATTGTCCCATTTTGCCTCATGCTAGCTATGGCCCTGGCCTTAGTAGAAAGTGACCCTAAAAGGTTGCCCTCATCTTCATGGTTGCGACACATTCACGCAACGTATGAAAGGAAACAAATAACCTGAAAAGAAATTTACATGTATGCTGCACTTCCAGAGTCTCCTCCA